CAATCCACAGCACATAACTGTCAATCAATTCTCTGAATCGGATTCGCAATCAATAATAAACCGAAAGAAATACTTGAAACCAAGTCTAGAGACCAAACGAAATAAAGCAATATTAGTGACCATAGAAAACATTGTCATAGCGTTTCCATATCTCTATAATTTTGCCGAAGTATTCAACGAGAAGTTGATTACAATTGTCAAGTGGTTGAGACAACTTCACAGAAAGGAAACGACAGACGATAGCGTCAACTCAACCGCTAAAGAGTCTCTGTTTCCCGACATTTTGCTCAAAATCCAGAGCGCGTCGATGGAAGTGGCGGACGACCCCTTCGAAGTGCGCTTAAGTGATAATTACGAACTCCTGGAGGACGAGCACAAAGAGTCGCTGAAGAGGTGGCAAATGTTGTCCGAGAAGATCGAGGAGAGGCGGCGCAAGAATATACTGCTGCCGGCGTCGAAGTTGGATGAGTTGCACAACGCGTTCGCCAAACAAAACGCCAACACTTATATCGAGCGCTCAAAGAAATTGTATGACTCGTCGCCAATGAGGACGAGACTGTTTTGCGTCAAAATCGATGGCTTGGAGTTGGAAGTGGTTAACGACGCGTCATATAATACGTACGAACAGAAAGTGTCTCTTTTGCGCCGAATCGATAACGAGAGTCCGTTTCCCGAAGACATACGATTCAATACGATTTGGTGCCGACGCGTGTCGGCCAGCATTGCCAGCGGTGTTGTCTCGTTGAGAGACTTTCCGCAACCAATGACTGACGCCCGGGATCTGACACTTCGCGGCATGATTTTGGGCGCCGAAGAGGAGGCCAGTAATCGTGCGAAACGGACGTGTTTTATAGATATCGGGCCTAACTTTGAGCCGATAAGTATTGAGCGTTCGATGACTACAATGAAACTCTACCACGAAGTGACGTTTGACGTCGCGAACCTGGCCTACACTCACGGCGCCTCTTGGGAACCAGTGCTCCAACAGGTGGCGCTCGCCTTTGAGATGATATTCAAGCCATCGCT